TGATCTCTCCTTCTCACACCTATTCCTGCCATCTACCATGAGGTCCTCCCTAGAGCCACGCTGAAGCCAGTGCCATGACCTTTAATCTCCAGAACTGCGGCTAAATGAACCACTTTTCTTTATAAAGTTAACCTGCCTCCGGTAGTTCATTATAGCAATGAAAAAATACTAATAGAATATGTGTGACGAATACACAAAGATGGGAATGTTACTACAATTGATATTGGAAAAGTACCTCAAAGAGGTTGTGGTGAACGAGAACTCTGACAGCTGCTGCTCTCACCATTGAGGAAGTTCAAATAAATACTTTGGCTAAATGTTTTCCTTTGGGTCCTGGGTAAGCCTCTGTGGCAGAGTTGGCTTCATTCTGGGTCCTGCCCTGAACTGGGTGTGAAGATTAGACAGTTTCACCCGGCTGTGCCCTCTAGTATACCACGCCGTGACCAGCTCCACTTCCCATTTCCTTGTTGCAGCCCCTCTGTCCATCACCCAAGTTGGCTGACTGTGGGGTGCAGGAGCAGGAAAGGAGCAAGCCACAGAGCAAGACATAGGAGACTAATGTAACCCAGGTGTCACTCAACATCACAGACTTAACTGGAAGAAATTTTAGTGGTCATCTGGGTCACTTGATTTCAACCTCATTAGGTTCACATATTCTTTGAGAATCAGAAGAAAGTGGTTGAACCCTCTAGAGAAATGCACCTTCCTCAAACCCATCCAGCTAAACTCAGCTTGCCCTATTACTCTCGGAGGTAGGGATTGAACCCAGGTCCTCACACATGCCAGGCAAGTGCTCTACCTCTGAGCTATGAGCTATGTCCCCAGTCCATAGACTAAGCTTTTTATTTGACAGACATGGATATAAAAACCCAAAGAAGATGCAGGACTTGGCTAAGATTACACAGAGAAGATAAGTGAATTCAAACTCTGCTCTCCCGATTTCCAGTGTAGGACCCATCAGCCCCATGCTAGCAGGTTTCCACTCTACGTGCAGCCCTATATTGGGAATTATGGAAGAATATAATGCTTACAAATAAGGAAATGGAGCTCAAACCAAGATCAAGAAGTAAGCAATATTCCTGCTTGGGAAGCTGAAGAAAAATGCCTTCCACTCTTCAATGATTTATTGAGCACCTATGAGCAACTCCTAAAAATCTCAAATAACTAGGAGATTCATAATTTATTGGAAATTTAGACTCTGTAATCTCACACCCGAAGAGGATGTTGAGGTCCTCAAAGTGATTGTGTGTATGTATGACTTTGTTCAGGTGGTGGAAACCTACCCTGAAGTGGTCTCTGCAGAGTTTAACTAATGCAACTTTCCCTTGCCTGGTGTCTCATGGACTTTGGCACAAATTAAGATAATATTAATAAAGGAAACCAGGGTTGTCCAGAGGTGGTGCCTAAGTAGAGTCAGCTGCAACCTTAGTTGTTCAAAAAGGAAGAAGAAGAACCCCAAGTCTTAGGGCCACGCTAAGCAATGGCTGCCCAGGATATATATTTTATAAGTATCAGGAAGAGAACCAGATTCAGATGTCATCATTCTAGAAAAAAGAAGGAAAATCATGGTAGACTATTTGTCTCCTCAGTTGGATGCTAAGAGAAAGCCTTTTATCATGGAGGAGCCTGGTTCTGGAACCTGGAGCCTGGAGACTTGCCTCCATTCTGAGCTTCTCCTGGCTCGTCTCCCTAGCTTGTCAGCGTTTTCTTTTGAAGAATGTACTTTATTCTGCCTTTAAAAAAAAAGCAACCAGGGATTGAACCCAGAGGCGCTTAACCACTGAGCACATCCCTAGCCCTTTTTATATTTTATTTTGAGACAGAGTGTCACTAAGTTGCTTAGGATCTCACCAAGTTGCTGAGGCTGGCTTTGAGCTTGTGATCCTCCTGCCTAGGCTCCCTAGTCACTGGGATTACGGCATGTGCCACTGCACCCAGCCTGCCTCATAATATTGGTAATAACTTCCCAGACTGTCTCTCCCACTTGGTGGTAACTTTTTAAGGGGAGGAACTCAGCCCTCCCTGTCTTTCTAGTCCTTAAAGCCTAGGACAGCACTTGTATGCAATGAGTGTATCAATCAGGGCCCCATCAGGAGACAGAAGCCACACAATAATTTGAACAGAAGGAAGGAATATAAGGAATTATTTACTTTTGATGGGAGCAGTTATAAAGATGTCAAGAGAAGGGTGCTCTATAGCTAAGAGATTACCTAAGGAAGGACCAAGGTGGAAGGTGCCCCTTTCCATGGCCGGGGCATCACTGGAGAGGTGCGGCTGTCACCCACAGGATGGGGGAGAAGTTCACCAGGTTGCCTGAATCAGAGCTGGTTCATACTCCCTGGCAGCAAAAAGCTTTCCCAGGCATGGGCAAGGTGAGGCTGGCGGACAGGTGTGTAGAGGAAGTCAGGGCACTCTGCCAGTGCAAGGCCTGAAGGGCACCGAGCCTGCATCAGGAGGGCCATGGTCAGCTGGTTCCCGGAACCAGGCCAGGCTGCAGGGTCACTGGCTAACTCTGCCCTCCAGACACACAACTGGGGCAGAGTATCACTGATTATCCCCACTCCCAGACTCCACAGCCTCCAGGATCCAAACCTGAAGAGTCCCCTTCTCCCTGCAGTGTCCCTCCAGTGCCCTCTACTGACAAGGCTTATGGTGATATGCACTCTAGAGGGGAGAGAGCATTATGAGGTTCCAGTTGGTTATGTCAGAGCAGAGATTGAAAGTGGATTTAGACCTGAGAGGCAGTAAAGTGACCACCGGTACAATGGGTAACCAAAAAAGTTTGAATTAAATTAGGTAAAAGCTGTCAACACCCCCACCCCAACATCTGATTATTTCTCTTTCTTTGAATCCCATCATTTTGGGGGGTTTGTTTTTGTTTTTTTCTAGTACTGAGGATTTAACCCAGGGGCACTCTACTTCCGAGCTATATCCCAGCCCTTTATATTTTTCATATGTCTCTCCAAGTTGCTGAGGCTGGCCTCAAGCTTGTGATCCTCCTGCCTCAACTTCCTGAGTAGCTGGGATGACAGGTGTGTACTACCACACCCAACAGAATCCCATATGTTTTGTGATTTACTCTCTAGGAGCTCATTCCCTTCTGGGGTGTTCTGGTTTTTGGGTTTTTTTTTTTTTTTGTACTGGGGATTGAACTCAGGGGCACTCAACCACTGAGCTACATCCCCAGCCCTATTTTGTATTTTATTTAGAGACTGGGTCTCCCTGAGTTGCTTAGTGCCTCACTTTTGCTGAGGCTGGCTTTGAATTAGTGATCCTCCTGCTTCAGCCTCCAGAGTCACTAGGATTACAGGCATGCGCCACCGTGCCTGGCTTGTTTTTGTGTTCTTAATGAGGTACATGCCTTTCTTCTCTTGGCTCACCCTTAGAAAGATGAAAGAGAACGAGAGGGGGAAAAAAACATCTAGGACAACTTATTTCTGCACTCAACCTTGAACTTGTTTGCTTCCTGTTTCTTTTCGAGCAAGCCACCTGTCCCTCCCAAACACTTTAGGAGTATCCCAAAGCACTTGGCTTGAAGTGGCAGCGGAAGGAATCAGGGCTGGTAAGACTCAAGCTTTCCCTGCCTTTAAAGAAAAGGTCAGACTGGGAAGTCTGAAGAGATTTGCCCAAGTAGCCTCCAAACATTTTAGAAGAAAATAGGTGATAGAGCAAACAACAGAGTTGGGGAATAATTATCAGCACAAATATTATTCAGAAAGCTTTCAGAAAGGACCAGTACTTTCCTCTTAAGCAAACCAAGAAGAGTACAGCAGTGAAGGGTCCTTCAGGTGCCGTCTTGTGGGAGATCATGTGATTAACCGGCACCAATTTTCAAGACTGTACACTTAGGCATCACCCATCCTAAATATTCCATTCTCCTCTGAAGAGTCTGATATAATTAGTGTTAACTGGTGGTTCCCTGCAGGAGCTAGCTCAGCAGTGAGATGGGGGTGCGGTTACAACTGCCTCTACGGATGAAGTGGTTTTCCAAGCATAATCTGTTTACTGTCCTTCAGAAGCATACTCATCCCTTTAGACCAGAAAAAATGGCAAGGGGGAAATCTAGGGGAACGTAGTCTTTCTGCCAAAATTTTTATATGTATATTCTTTTTTCTTTTTCTTTTTTCCAATTAATGGAGATTCTGGACCCGTGAAACCTAGAATAGACTGGCAGGGAGCCATCTCAGTATCTTACCAAGCTACACCTTGTCGCCCCTACATGTACCAAGGAAATTATACTCTTAGTGGTCAATAAAAATACACATATTTATCCTTGGGCAGTGGGATTATGTTTAATCTTCTTTTTGCTGATCTTTTTTTTTCTGCTGATCTTTAATTTTTGTAAAATTACTATATATAAAAAATTTAATCAAGGGCTGGGGATGTGGCTCAAGCGGTAGCGCGCTCACCTGGCATGCGTGCAGCCCGGGTTCGATCCTCAGCACCACATACAAAGAAAGATGTTGTGTCTGCCGAAAACTAAAAAAATAAATAAATATTTAAAAAATTCTCTCTCTCTCTCTCTTTAAAAAAAAAATAATGAAACTACACGCACATTTTTTTTCCTCTAAAAATTTAGGCAAATCACTGCTCTTTGTCTCAAATCTAACCAGCCCCTTCCCAGCCCTGTTCAGATTAACTGCCAAAAAAAAAAAATCAGCAGACTGCAGTTTTGGAAGAGGTTCTTGGAAGAGATTTATTTCCTCACTCTTGATCTTCTAAAAACAGACCACTTTTTCTTCTACCCCTCACCAAGCGGTGATGGATGCCACACCTGCCTCAGGTGACAAAACCTAAGTGATGAATAAAACCCTTTTATGATTCCTTATGATTCTCGCACATTCTGTGGCAGGTGAAAGCACTAGCCTGGGGCACTGAGCCATGTGAAGATGCTCTGAGGGGTGTTATTCTGCCTCAGGCATGGCTGTACCGAGCCACAGGCACCTTGGGGGATTTCTTCTGGCATTGCTAACCTTTGATATGTTGCTCTGTCCTTTCAGATTTTTGACAATGAAGCCAAAGACCTAGAGAGAGAAGTTTGCTTTATTGATATTGCCTGTGATGAAATTCCAGAACGCTACTACAAAGAATCCGAGGTGAGTGATAGATGGAGAACATGTAGAAGAGATTGACTGATCCAGTCATTCATTCATTCATTCATTCAACAGGGATTCAAGTGCCACCTCTCCTGGGATCCTTCCATCTGTCTTTGTGTGGCTTTAGTTTGGTCTCCCATCTTGCTGGGTTATTTAGTGTGGGTCTCGAAATTAAGTCTCTGCTCCTCAGGGCTCATTACTGGCCTACCTGCCAATAACTTTCCATTAGCTTTCCTGTCTGCCCAACTCTGCTATCAATCTGGGCCACATTGATGTTCACAGGGCTGAGCCATCTAGCACACTGGCCTCTCTGAAAAACAGCAGCCTGAATCTCCACCCACATGCTCTGCCAGGGCAGGAGCTATATTTTATTTTTATCTTTGGGTTTTAACATTTTTTTTAAAAAAATTCTCAAACAATCCTCAAAACTTTTGACTGCTCATGATGGTCTAGAACCTTTCTCTCAAAATAGCAAGCACCTTCAGAAGGCCTTCTCCTTTCTTCTTGGCTGAAAATACATTTAAGAGACTCTTTCCCTCTGATTTCCACCCTGCCAGAATTCGCCCTTTGCCCAGTTCTCCCTCTTGATTTTACTCGTTGGTGCAAGTCACCATTTATATCCTCTTGGTATTTTATTAATGGCTGCTGACGGAACTTGAGTGACCCGCCTGTAAATAACGTCCCAGCCCTGCAATGACAACAGATGCAGGGCTATTTTTGTTGTTTAGCAACATGCAGCCAATCACAATATGTTTGGAATCAGGGCCCCAGACTCGTCCTTGAGCTGTAACACACAGACCTTGAAACTCTTCCCGTAGATTCATTAAGGCTCATAGAAGACGTTACAAATAATCCTGTTAAAAAGAGAATTCCACCAGGTCCCACAAACTGGGCTCCAGCGTGGTTCAGATTTGTTTGCCCTCGCATTCTGGGATACGTTTGGATAAAAAAGTTTTGCCTGATCCTGGGAGATGTGTAGCTGCTTAATTGCAGGCTCATGGCTCTCCAGCTGCTGTCCCTTAAAGGGTCTGGGAGAGGCTGATGTGAATCACGCTTGTCATACACATCAACACAAAGGCTGGGCATGTTAACGTCATCAGCTTGTATTACACTCTGCAGCCAACTACACCTGTGTAGTTTAAGAAGAATAAATCAAATGCTCTCTGCCTAACTGTGGACCTGCTGGCAAGAAGGGTAAAGCAGAGCTCCACCCACCTTCTGTGGTTCCATACCAAGTCCAAGGAGCTTAATTGGGCTTTTAAATGAAGGGCCCAACATTATGAAAAGCATTGGGAGAAGCCATGGCCCCGTCATTTTCTGTGGCTCCTTCATGTAGGGTCTGCTGTCCTCTGGACACCTTGTCCTCTGTAGCAGCTCTGTGCCTTCCAGGAAGGCAGTGTTGCCAGAAAACTGAACTAATTTCAGCCCTTCCTCCCAGAATGCTTTGGTGTGGTCCTGCCTATTCCTCAGGGAGCACTTTTCTGATTCAGTGGAAAGTCTTGGGATAAATAGGGAATGGTAATGAAGAAATCAATGGTTCTCACTTAAGGTCACCAGGTGCTTGACTCACTTCCCTGTGCTTTGTTCTCCTAAGAACCACCCCTGGAAAGTTTCTTTCCATTCACACTGGTGAAGCGCTGTTGTCGTGCTTGATGGAGTCATGCACGGACACATTCATACCTCTGTCCTGGACCATGAAGCATTCTTTCCTGCATGTAGTTTGACCAAGGAAATGAGAGATGGTCACTCATCCAATAACTCTTAATGGAGTACTCATTGAATTAAGACAGATACGTGGTAGTGAGATACTCATGGCCCTCCCTCATGACACTTCTAATGTAGCAGAGGAGCCAAACAATAAAGGAAAACCCCATGAATATGGAAGTAGAGGGTACTCTCAGGAGAGATGTTCTGGAAGAAATGACAGCAGTGCTGAGACCTGCAGGATGAAAGAGCTGGGGACATCATTCCAGGTGGAGGGCAGAGCAAGTAGAGGACCCCGTGGTGACTGTTGTTGTTGTTGTTATTGGTACCAGGGATTGAACTCAGGGGCACTCAACCACTGAGCCACATCCACAGCCCTATTTTGTACTTCATTTAGAGACAGGGTCTCGCTGAGTTGCTTAGCATCATGACGTTGCTGAAGCTGGCTTTGAACTCGCGATTCTCCTGACTCAGCCTCCCGAGCTGCTGGGATTACAGGCTTGCACCACCACATCCGGCTCCATGGTGACATGTTTAAGAGGCAAACATAGTGGCCACAGACAAACAAGGGAAGAAAGGGATGAAGGAGGAAGGGGCTGTTTAATAGACAGATTTTAGTCAAGTACGGTAAATCCCTTTGAAGATATGGAAGATAGAGCATCATAGGGTCTGATTTATGCTTGCCAAAGATTGCTCTGGAAGGAAAATACATTGAGAAGGGCAGAATGGAAATCAAGAGACCACTGAGGTCAGTAGAGTTATTTGCATTTTTGGTTATTTAGGTTATATGCTGACTTGAACTAGTACTAACAACAATAGAGAGGACAGATGGTTTTGAAATATATTTTGAAGACAGAATTGACAGGGATCCAACTTAGATGGGCTATAAGGGTGAGGAAAAAAAGAGGAGTCAAAATGACCCAAAGGATTCTGGCACAGACAGCAGGTAGATGGGGTTCCATTTACTGAAATAGGAAGATGAGAAGAGGAATGAGTTTTGGAGAAAGCTTGGTGGACTTTGTGAGGCCAGTGAGACATCTAGCATGAGGAGCAACCAGTCTGGACCTTGGGTGGGGGATCTGGCCTGGAGACCAATCAGGGTATCTGGTGAGAAGAAAATATAGAAAATTTTTTAGACTCCTGGGAATGGATGAGAGGGGGAAGGCATAAAGTGTAATGGGAATGGGGTTAAGGACTAAGCCTTAAAGGAGACCAGACAGAGGAGGCACCAGGAATCTACAAAGAACTGTCCAGAGAACGAGGAAGAACACAGGGAGGATGTGTCAAGAAATAGAACAGAGATAAAGGAGAGTGGAAAACTGTCCCTCAGATCAGTTCCCAACTGGGGATAACTTTGCCTGCCCCACAACAGTTTTTGTTGTCACAACCTGGGGAGTGCTGCTGGCATCTGGTGGGTCAAGGCCAGGGATGCTGCTAAACCCCCTATAAAGCACAGGATCGCCCTTTACAATAATTATCTGGCCCCAAATGTCAGTAGTGCCAAGGCTAGGACACCATGCTCTAGAAAAAGAGGTCACTGCAGATGAAAGGAACTCTGGGTCCAGCGCTCACAATGCTTCCTATCAAGAGTCTTAGGGTGGCTTAATGAATGTGGAAGAAATGGGCCTCCTGGGGCTCAGTCCTGTGAACTCTCCAGTCCCACTTCCAGAGGATCTGCTGCCTGCGTCACTGGGAGAATTCCTCCTCCGTTGGCAGTCACACCACAAAGGGCTATAGGCATAATCCAGAGCCTGTAATAAAATCTAAGGAAGAGAATGTCTGTGGGACTCCCAGTGACCCCCAACCCCACGTCATCTGATTCTGAGAATCCCTGGCTGCAGTCTGGACTCACCAGCAGTGTGTTTTATAGGCTGTGTGGGTTGTGTGTACTGTGAATGTGACAGGGACAGAGAATAAGAGAAGCAGCCAGTTGGCAAAACATTTCCAAATTTATTTCTGTTTGGCACATTGTAAATTATTAACACCCTCCTCCCCATCCTAAGAGTTTTCTTCTAATAGGAAATCTGACCTTGTTACTCTGCTTAAAACCCCTTACTGGGCCACCTTTAGAGTTTGGCTCAAGCACGACTTCCCTTTAGGGAAATTCCCTGAGCATGTTGCTCCTCCAGCCCTTCCCTGGTCTGTGGCTTCTAGATCATTCCACCTCATGCTAGCTCATAGCCACAGCATGAGTTCCACGAAGCCAAGAGCCATCCTCCTTCTTCCCATACTCAGCAGCTACTGAAGCAGCAGCTCTTAGCAGATGCTGCTCCCCAACAGTTGGTGAATGAACACAAGTGAAGGCCAGGGGCTTTGTTTTTTAATTCCAGCAGTGACAATTTCAGAGAAAGTGCTATCAAAGAAAATGAATCTGTTGCCATTAAGCTAGCAGTTGTGAATCAGGGTTCCTTTTTGTTTAATCTGAGGCTGACTGCCTTATGGGCTTTTTCTTCCAATCCATTCTTGTAAGTTGACTATGTCAGCATCGTAAAGAGCAACACACTTTCTCTGCAGAAAGCCAGGGAGCTGGTGGGCACAGTCTGCTCCAAGACTTTTTGATGCTGATGAATACAGACCAGGGTTATCTGGGGCACTACTCTGTACCCAGCTACAGCCACACACACTGCTACTCAGGCCAAAGGAGGGGATTGAAGCCATTTCTTTGCTCGTCCCATTTCTCCCTGGAAACCTGAGCCACACAGTCAAGAATGTCTCTCTCATTAAGGTGACCAGAGTGGGGAATTTTCCACCAGCTGCCCTCTGCCTGACAGTCCTCATGCTACCACTAACCAGGGATTCAGAAGGACACTTTGGGGACTTGGGATCAGCTGATAGCCCGGTCCAGAGCTCTCCGATTTCTCATTTTTGCAGTGCTGCTATTTTTTGTCCAAATCAAGAGCTGTGTTTCAATTCCCAAGAGCTTCTGAGCCTCAAGTTTTATTCTCATATCCATCGGACAACGCTGCAGGGCAGTGTTGTAATGTTAAAAAAAAAAAAAAAAGAGTGTGATTTCTCAGACATGGAGAACACCTCCATTAGGCATCAAGACCTGCCCGCGCCCCATGAAAGTCTGCTGTCTGCGCCTAATCACAGGGACAGTTTTCATCGGCACCCCAAAGCAGCAGAGAGGGTGAAGCTGAACACCAAGCAGGTTGTACTTGTTATGCGCTTGATAAGTGGCTCTTGCTTCTGCCAAGATTCCCATCCGACTCTTTGATGCTCTGCCAAGATTTCAAGGTGAAGATCCCAGCAGAGGAATAAGGAACTCGGCACGATAAGTCACAGCAGGCCCGCAG